TGACTATATGTTCATACTTTGGACTTCATTCTACATGCTGGATGCCCATTACCATCTACTCCCTCTGTCCACCATAAATCTTTCCAATAGCCCTTTTTCTTTGTCCACAATAGATCTTCTCATTTCATTTTTTAACAAGTAAAATACCACAACTACCCCCACTTACTTTATTTATTACACCTCACCCACCTCATTTAATACACTCCACCCATTTTTCATTAAGGGTATTATGGTAAACTTTCACCTTTTTTCAACTCTCCTTAAAAACCACCAAAAGTCAAAATGAGAACATCTTAGGCGGACGGAGGGAGTACATGACATTTGTGTTTACACTTTAAGGATTGACTACTCTTTTTCTCGGGTACCTTGGCCTACGCAAAACACATTAGTTGAGGCTTTTCTACCTATGCAGGATCTTCCTTTTTAGTTCAAGCAGCTGTTATCATGGCCATTTTGGGTGCTGCTGCTTGATTTCATTAGAGACAAGGTTTATGCCTTCCTCTTCATCTGGTATTTTTCTGTGTTATAAATAAATTTCTCCTTTTTAGAGAGAGAGAGACTTAGAACGAGAGCTTTTCTTAAAGAAAATGATTATTTCTTAAACTGTGCTTTGGGCTCTAAGCTTTGTTGCCATAACTGTTCTGTTTGCCAATTGGATAAAAGCTGCAGGAGATCGGATGGGTGAGCTTCTTGGGAGGATGAGATGGATACAAGTTACACGATCCGTTTTCCAGGTTACCTGAACTTCTCACAAAAATACCTGAATTTCGAAGAAATTTTACAAAAGTACTTGGAGCCGTTTTCCAAGTTACTTTCAGGTCACTTTAGGCGTAATTGCAATTTTATATATTTTTAATTTTAAATTATGACCCCACTGTTTTTCTTTGTTCTCAAATTCCCTATTCATTCTTCTTCAGCAGCTCCAATTCCACCCTTTTTGGAGAATAAAAGAGAGAGAATATGAGAAAATGAAAAAAGGGTGAGTCAAAAGTAAAAATTATAATAATATAAAATTGTAATTAGGCCCAAAGTGACTTGACAATAAACTAGAAACCGGCTTAAAGTACTTTTGTAAAATTTCATCAAAGTTCAGGTATTTTTGTGAAAGGAAACAAATTTTAGGTACCAAATTATATATCACTCAAAGTTTGGATACCATTAGTGAAATTTACCCCCAAATCATCTAATAATCTAGCCTTTTGAAAAACTTTTTAGTCTTTATTCAGTAAATATATTTAAAAATTAAAAATGTATGACTTAAAGTCCTCACCGTACATTCAAAGTAAAACTCAATAACATAATAAATTCATAATTTGTGTGTTCATCTTTTAATTCTACGGTTGTCCTCACAATAATTTATTATGCTGTTTTCTTGAATTTGGACTTATTGTTATTGAATTCACTATGCTTACGGTACTTTTTTATCAGATGATTTTTGTTGTATTTCTAAAATATTTAATCTTACTATGAGTTTTTCTCCTAGGATATAAGCTAAGTTCTACCGGTCTAACTAGCTATGCACTATGGGGCGGAGTGTTGGGCAGTTAAGAAGATTCACGTGTGTTGAGGTCAGTTAGACATGGCGCCAGTGGAAGATAAGTTTTGGGAAGCTAGGTTGTGGTTCTTAGGTCATGTGAAATGGTGGGATGCCGACGCTCTAGTGCAGAGAGAGATGTGAGATGCTTAAGGTGGTAGGGGGGAAGTAGATGAAGGGATAGACCTAGAAAGAGTTGGAAGGAGGTGATTAAACAGGACTTAGAACTTCTTACCTTTAGTGAGGATATGGTCTTTACAATGAGCATTTGGAGAGATAGAATTAGATTCATTGGGTAGGTGCATTCTGATAGGATTGTGTGTTTGAGTAGTTGGGTGGTGTTGCGTGTTTGATATGCCTTTTATGCTTGGTTCTATTTGCTTTGCTTGCAACACTCTCCCTTCGTAATTTTAGTTTATTTTCTAGGTGTTGGGTGCTTTATATGTGTTGCATCTGTGTTTTCCCTGTATTTTCTAGTTCATTTTTTATGCATATGTTAACTCCTTTTTGTGTAGCTTGAGCCGGGGGTCTCTTGGAAACTGCCTTTCTACTTTCGGCTAGAGGCAATGTACACCCTCCCTCCCCATACCCTACTTTTGTGGGATCCAATTAGGTTGTCAATTTTTATAATCATTTTGCAAGGTTTTTAATAATACCACTTTTTTATTTTCTTAAATAAATTAGTTAACTGCTTAATTTGGTTTTTTATATGTGAACCTATGTATAAAGACATGCCTTTATTTCAATTTAATAAAGCCTATTATGAAATGTCAATGCTTGTCAGGGTTTTAAAATTGCATGGTGCAAAATAGATTAACGTAACGGGATGATATGTGGGTAGTATTGATTGGAATGGACCTGTGGTAAAAGCAAGGCTAAGACAACGGCAAGGGAACTCACGGAAGATGCTTTAGGGCCTGTTCTTTAGGACTTGAACTCTTAACTTCCAGTTCTTTCCAGTTTTTTCCAATTTCTTCCAGTTTCTTCCAGTTCCTTCCAGTTTCTTAAAGTTTCTTCCAGTTTCTTCCAGTTTCTTCCAGTTTTTTCCAGTTTCTTCTAATTTCTTCCAACTATATTTATTTTCTTCAAATTCTTTCTACCTTTTGACAAATCACTCTAAAAAATATTATTATTATAATGATTATTATTATTACAATTTTTTTAATTACAACTTTTATGTTCATAACTATAGTTTATAAATTATTTCATTTTTTCATCTCACTATTTTTACGATTCATATTCATTATTTTTTTTTCTTCAACTTTTTAATATGAATAATACCAGTTCTATGTTTTTATTCAAAACGTAGGGTTACAATGGAAATAAATTGGCAATCCTTAAAGAAAAAATAAGTTTGATTACATTATGTGACATGTCAGATATTTAAAACAAAATCTTGTAATGTATAAAATATAATTACAAATATATTATTTTATAATAAATACAGCATAGCCATAATAACTCTTAACTATTTAACATTTTGATATTTATGCTAATTTTATATTCTAATTAATTTTTTAAAATATCTTTTTATGTATGAAAAATAATATTCGTAATATTTTTTTATTTTAAAGACAATCATTTTGATAACGTGATAACATCACCACTACCACCACCACCACCAACAACAACAACAACAATAATAATAATAATAATAATAATAATAATAATAGTAATAGTAATAGTAATAATAATAATAATAATAATAATAGTAATAATAATAATTTATATCAACAAGAATCAGAATGAGAATAATTTAAAACCACACATAAAAAAATTTTAAAAACTTTTTTTAGATTTTAAAATTTTTTTTCAGTTTTTCCAGTTTCTTCCAGTTCCTTCCAGTTTCTTCCCGTTTCTTCTAGTTCCTTCCAGTTCCTTCCAGTTTCTTCCAGTTTCTTCCCGTTCTTCCAGTTCTTTCCAGTTTTTTCCAGTTTCTTCCAGTTTCTTCCAGTTTCCAGCTCTTTTTTTTCCAGTCCTAAAGAACAGGCCCTTAATAGTGTTATTGGGAGCTAAATTTACCACCAAAGAACCCACCAATACGAGTTCATTTTACATCGTTTGTAGTTCATTGCAGTGTAACTTGAAAGTTTTGCCGAGCTATTTGAGCCACTTAAACCATATAATGGAGTGCCATACTGCCATGAGATCTCATAAGTTGACACCTAAAGCGGAACCAAATTATTATGGAACGAAATCATGGACTCATGGTTACATCAAAAAGGGCAAATGAAAAACGGAGGTTGCTGAAAAATACTCTCATTGCCCCAAATTTTCGTTTTTACACAGTTTTTTAGGTGGTGGAATTGTATAGTCAAAATGTATTTCCAAATGAAAGAGTTGATATGAACCACACAACTTTTTCTTTAAAAGGCAGTGAGAAGAGCTTTTAAAGACTACCAAAAAAAGGGAATGTGAGAAGAACATTTTGGAATGGAGAACTAAAAGAATATCATTTAGTGAAATTTCCACTAAATAGTACTAAAACATATATCATATCCCAATGTAGTACTTAAACTTTTTTATTCCTTAAATAGTACTTGAATAATGTCTAAGAGCGGGAACAATGTCCAGTGATTGTTGACATTTAGTTTGAACAATGTCCCGTGGCGGTGGACATTTACTTGAACAATGACCAATAGACAATAACCAGTGGTACTATATTGGGAAATAAAAACATAAGGTACTACATTGGGAAAGTTACTATGTTTTAGTACTATTTAGGTAAATTCCCCTATCATTTAATGAAATATTATAGAGTTGTCCTTCCCCTTTGTTTCTTTTTAATTTATTTTTTACTTATTTGTTTAACAATGATGAAATCTCCCTTAAATATCATATAGGTATATAGATAACGGGGTACAACTTTTAGACAAGAACAAGGAAATATTGAAGCAACAAATAGTGAAGTAAATAATTTAAGGAAATAGATTTGAAAAAGGAAACAGAAACAAAATAATAAGTAAAAATTCCAGCAATATAGATTTATGCATTTACTAGAGAATAATCAAAAGGATCAGGAAGTATCTCAGGATTATCAAGCTTCATTGTGTCCTAATGTTATTCTACACTATGGAACTAACTATTCATCAAAATCACATTAAAGTGTGGAATTTGGGTTTTGGATAAGTAACTATTGCTCTGAAAATTCACTCCAGGCCCATTAATTGGCCTACGATTGAGGTTTTGGAGAAATACAGGGTTCCGAAATGTCAGTCAAACTAAGTGGTATCAACAATATTGTGGAAGGCTGTAGCAACTCTCACAATTATATTCAAGTTAGAGCTTAATCTTCCAAATATTAACCACTTGTATAAACAATGAATTCAATAATAGTAGTCAGTGGAACTTAGCAACTAAAAGGCAAACATAGATAATCAAAAGGTAAACAATAGTAAATAAATATAATCTTATATTTATCTCACATAGCAGATATAACAATAAAAAATATATAAAATTCACTTACATGTGAAGCAACAGCAGCATCTTCTTTCCTATCAAATGGCTTCTTCCATTCAGGAGTCTTAGGATAATCAATAAATTCAGGTTTTGCTTCGTGATAAGAGCTGTACAATGCATCTATGTACTCATGCTTGTAAATTCCAGGGCTACGCGCATTGGAAAATAAAGATATTGCCTGCACCATTAAGAGAAAAGAAAGAGAATGTTTTTGAGAGATTGGATTGGGCCACATGAAGTCTTGAAGAAAACCATTTTTGGTGACCGAATAATGAAAATATGCTTACCTCAGCTACTGTAATCTTTTCATTACGAACAAGAAAATGGACGATCATGTACCCCGTGCGATTGTAACCATGTGTACAATGAACAAGAACACACTTTTTTGTGTGCTCATGCTGACATCTAAACTTGGCAACCTGAAATTCCAAGTATCTATAAAGATAAGCTTCCACATAGTCAAACAAGCCATGAATTTAGAGTGTGAAGTGGGGTAACAATAAGAAAAAAGAAAATATTGCGGTAGAATTAAAATAATAAATAAATACGGTTTGAAACCACTGCTCGTGCTAGGGTGCAAAAATACCTCATCAACAAACTTATTGACAGACTCGCTGTCAGGAATGTCCTGCCCAGGACACCTAATCTGGAAAAGACAAAATGTTGTGTGTTAACCCAAAACCCATCTACTGTGAAGCAGAGTTATGCACAACTAGCAAGGCTGTTACCTTAACATATCTAATGCCCTGACTTGTCCAATCTGACTCCGGGTAATAGCGATATGTGTTTGTTAAGTCAATAACCAAACCTATCTGAAACATTGACGAGCAAATTAATGCAATTTACAATTTACTCTTGAGGAAAGAGTGCAACAAAAAAAATATCAGCATATATACCATTATCTAAAATTGCAGAAATAGATAACAACTTCCCAGATCCAAATTATAGTTTCTGAAAGCATACTCAGAAAAAGAAATTACTCTAACACATTAAATCTTACTTCTCTGCACAGACACTTTTGATCATAAATGGCTTGACTTGGGGTGTATCTTTTGATTCGACAGATATTCTTGTTGAATGCGTCGCTAAGAGGAACTTTTGATGGGATTAAACCATCTATGCTATCACCATGTGGAGGGCAGCTCAACCAACCTGCACAATCATATCAAATTGAAGTCCGAAGCATTCTAGGATTTCTAACCAAGAGATGGGTAAATATACCGCAACGGCTCTGCTACTGAGTGAAGATATAAAGTCTACTTAAAATATATTGACGTTTTGAACTCAAAATGCTCATTGGTTAACAAAAAGCATAACAATTGAGATATGAGAACCCACCATAGGGGATGCTAAGAGGGTCAAAGAAACTGACTTTGTTGTGTCTGAATCTAGAGTCAAATCCCCGGGGGCCTTGATATGATTGCCTTGGACCCTGAAAACCCGAATTACGATCATATTCCAATCCAATCCCTGCACAACATGGAAATGAACTTGTGAAGTGATTTCCCCACGAAGGACGGAAAGTAAAATACCCACACGCTGTTGAAAACAGAAGAAGTCTACGCATCTGCACACCTTGCCTCCCACGAGGTTCATACACTCTGCTCTCATGGAACCTAGGGTTTTGACTGAATCTCCAAGTATCATGCCTTGGATGTTGACTATGATCTTCATACGCTAGTTTCCTTTTCAGTCTGTACTGATAATGCCCTCCAACATCCATCTTTGAAAAGAAAAACAACGCACTGTACTTTGCAAATCACTACCACTCTAATCTAGAAACAGAACTCCAAATCAATCTTTCACAATGAAGTTTGAACAACAAATTAGCTCCTAGTGCTGAATTGTGTCAGCGCAGAATAGGGTAACCCAGAATCACGAAAACCTGGTGAATTGAAGCACAAAAAAGAAAATAGAGGAAGAAATCTGGGTAGAAAAAGATGCCGATTTGCAGAATTGTTCTCAATTTAGGGAGGAGAAACTTTGAAGGGCAGGCATTGCAGCAAGGTTTTGAAGCGGGATGGCTATCTAATCGGGAATTGGGGATTCTAATCCGTCAAAAAAAAACTCTCTGTAGATGAATCCACGCAGATCATGTAAACCAGCTTTTCGAATTGGCTTTGGTCTTTGGCCCTTTAAATACTCTGCGCAATTCTGAGTTGCCAGTACGATTCCCCGTATTTGAACTCTGCCCCAATTTTGAAGTTACTTGTACTCCCATTTTGACTTTTTTTATTCAAAAGAAATTTTTGATCATAAATTAAATATAATTTAAATAAATAAATAATATTCCCTTGTTTTTAAATATTTGTCAGTTGTCACACTTATATCTCGAGGTAAAATATCAAATTTTTTAAATTTAATTTATTTACATATTGGTATAGAAATAAATAATACTCCCTCCGTCCCCCTGTATTTGTCCACATTTGACTTTTAGAACTGTTCATCTAAACACTTTGACTCATCAAATTCTCTCAATGTGTAAGCTTAAATATAGTCATGTGTGATCTTATTTGATGTGTCTTAACATATAGATTATTAATATATAATTTTTATAATTTTTTAATATACAAATTACAAGATAAAATGGATTAAAAAAGTGCATTGGATGGTGTGTAAAAACGAAAGTGGACAAATACAGAGGGACGGAGGGAGTAAAATTTACATACTAAAAAACTACATAAAGTTCTTCGAAATAAGAGATGTCAAGAATATTTTATTTTATCAAATAACCAATGAGAAAGTAGAAGTTAAAAAAAAGTACCTGTAACTGTTAAAAAAGCAAATGTTGTAAATATTTTGGGACAGGGGAGTATAAAATTTGATTTATCAAAATGAAATATATTAGTACTACCAAGGGAAGTTTAAGTTTGATTCCTATTTTGGTATATTTACAATGTATTGGTCCTATTTAAGTCTTTCTCCCATGAGAAATCACCCTAAATAGAACTAAAACATAGAGTTTATGTCTAAAATAAGACTTCTATGTTTTTATCCTCAAAATAGGACTAAACATTACCATTATACCCTTGTTGATCAGGAGTTTTTATCCTCTCCTTTCTATTGTTTTTAATGATCGGAAGTTTTTTTCTTGTTTTTTGTTTTATTTTGTGTGTTTTTTTTGTTTTATTTTCGTCCCTCTGTTTTTTTGGTTTTCTTCTGCGGTTCTACTTCCCTCTTTTTTTTGTTTTCATCTTTGTTTTTTTCTCTTTCGTCCCTTTTTTGTTTTTGTTTTCTGTCTCTCTCTTTCCTCTTGTTTTGCATACAAATCTTCCCTTTTTTTCCCTCCCTTTTTCATTCTACATGGAGTTATTAACTTCTATATTTCCTTTTCTTGTGTGACGCATTTATCCTTGTGTTTAATTACTTTAATGTTTAAAGGAATAAAACATAGAGAAAGTACCAAAATAGAGTATAAATCACCCTAAATATGACTAAAAGATAGAGAAAAATACCAATATAGAACTTTCATTTTTTTTCTCGAAATAGGACTTTGCACTGTGATAATGTGACTTTGCCCTGTTGTAATGTAGCAGTGTAAATGTGCAAATTACTATATTTTTTTGGTAATGCATACGACCATGTATGGTAATGTAAGTCCTATTTCAGAAATATAAACATGAAAGTCCTATTTTAGTATATTTTCAATATTTTAGTCCTACTTTGGTCTTTCTATCTAATAGGAGTTCTATGATTTTATACCGTAAACATGAGTTTGCACTGTGGTAATATGACACTCTACATGAGCATTTGTTGTAATGTACATGGTCATGCTTAGTAATGTAAATATATTTTAATTCAGATTTCAAGAATAAAACATGAAACTTCTATTTTGTTAATTATATTTTCATTTTTTTACTCCCACTTTATGCTGACTCTATGCTGGCAAAGATATACTCCGTACAAAGCAACAAAAACTAGCAATGGTATGAAAACAAAAGAAACAATACAAGAATGAGGCACTGGTTGAAACAGAAACAAGTGATTGGTGCGAAACAATGCCGCGATTGGTAGCTCAGGAGTCTTGCGCGGCTAGATTTGCTGTTGAAGAGCTCTGGCGTCGGTGTAGAGGAGGGTAGAATTGGTGGAGATGGTGGTTTGCTCTAGAAGACGACTGTACTTTGTAGCGGATTGGAGTGTTGAAGCGCTGAAGACATTAACAGCGGATATTGTGCAATCCGATGCTTAAGAGTAAAAACTAAAATTGATGAGCGCCTTCCCATATTGGAAACGCGAGCATCTCTTTCCCATAACCTTTACACACCGATTTCAGTCTATGTGTTGTGTAAAGTGCGAAGTTAAATGCATTTTTTGTAGTAATTTGTCAAAATAATAAACTCTAAAAGAGTTTGAAAGCATAGAGTCATTCTATGGCTAATTTTTCAAACAAAGTGCAGGCTTACCGGCTTAGTAAGTTTCTGGAGGTAGTAGACTGGTAAAAGATACAACCTGCAAAGAGGAGGATGTTTATCATTGCGACCAATAAACAATAGTCATGAATAATGCAAAGATTAAATAAACAATACTACGGGTAGTAAAAATAATGTCCCAACGGATGGGCTTAAAGCAATTGTACAAAACAAGAGAACAGCAAGGGAAGTGATTCTACACTGGCAAGAATGTACAAAACAATAGCAACTAGCAATGGTATGAAAATGAAAAAAAAAACGTACAAGAATGAGGCACAGGCACTGATTGAAACAGAACCAAGTGATTGTCGATAGACCCTGGCATTTGATTATATCAACAAATAAAATCATTTCCATCATCCAAAACAGTTTGCCAGGGAATGAGCATAATATAGCAATTGACACTAATGTCACAGCACATGAACAAAATGATTGTTTAAAAAGGTAGGAACAAATAGAGTAACAGCAGGGAATTGAACCAATTAATAAATACTTAGAGGTGTGAACAATTTCCAATAAGATGGGAGAGTGGAGTGAGATTATCCTGGACACAAGTTACAGCAACAACAAGCTCTTTGGGCGACATAGAGGCAGTTGCTTGAGGAAACTTGCCAACCTTAAATGATTTTGAGAACGTCTTGTTTCTTCCAGGAGGGAAGGAATAGACAGGAGTGAGGGAGTCGTCTGCTTGGTCGTTGGCAATTAGAATATCCCCATCAGGAAGGTTTCCGACGAGAGTGATTGAAGATTTACTACCCCTTTGTAGCAACTCGGAAGGCAAATTGATATCGTACTTATTCCACTCACAATATATATCCTCTGCAGAGTGGGTGAAGAGGCGCAACGATCTCCGTTGTACAGAACACTCAGATAGAGCAATGTCTCTCCCATATAGTGAGGGTATGCCTGCGGTGCTGAAGAACGACCACGAGTCGGAGACAGGCGGGTATTCCATAGAAACTGGGCGGAAATGCTCATGCGTTGCCGTGAGATCAAAACAAACATGAGAGTTTCTATTTCCAGTCCACCACAATAGTCCACTCACACAAACAGTTTGCATCTCAAGGGGAGGAAAAGGTATGGGGTGAGGTACTTTTCTCCAGTGGCAGGAGGAGGAGGAGGAGAGTGGGTCGTCACTGATTGTGAGAACCTGAGGCACCTTGAAAGGTGGGCACCCGCACAGACCACCACCAGGGCCAGGACATCCTTCACGGCACATATAACTTAAGCTAAGTATCTTATATGCCTTATGCACGGCATCAAAACCGAAAAAGTAACGAGTCATAGTGCAGTTGGTAGCTTGCTCAGCACCATGCAGGAGAGGGATGTCGAGCCTCCCAACTTCACGGGTTCCGGACAACCAAACATCAACACGAGTAGCACAGAGTGCATCAGGGGCAGGCGTTGGGGGTAGTGGGAGGTCAAGCATTTCGCCTGTGCATATACTAAAAAGACTCAACCTATTGGCGGAGTAGAGGCACACAAGGCCATTCACGACTTGAGTCGTCCATTGGTAGTAGTCCCGGCCTCGGGGGACCCTCAGGCGAGGGACAAAAGCACGAGGCTGTTGGCGGTGGTGTTGTTCGGAGAGAGGCGAGTAATAGAAGACGAACTCGTCAGCACCAACGGTGGCAATGACGAGGCCGTGTGAAGGCTCGTGGTTGAGGAGGCTCCGGTGCACCACCTTGATGAAGTCAGGGGGGCTTATGTAGCTGTGCCATTGCTTACACACGCACTTTGCTCGGCAAAGATCCCTAATTGGGAGGCGGGACAACACTTCTTCCCTCAGGACCTCAAGAGGCAAGCGTAGTATAGGAGCATATTTGTGGCAGCGACTCAGAAAGCTGAACTTCATTCTTCTTCTTACACCACCAGTATCATCATCCAATCTTCTCTTCTTACCATTCATCTTCCTCTCCATCCTTTTCATCAATAAACTATTCCCACTTAACTGTACCAGATCAGAGTACACAAGAACTAACTAGAGAGAAACAAACTCAATAAATATGGAAGAAAATTGAGTCAGAAAAGCTTATGGTTATATATAACCCAGCAGCAAAGCAAAAACCTTCGATCAAAACTTCAAGGAAAGCATCTATAAAATCTGCCGTCCAAAAGCAGCAAAGCAATCCAAATCCCTCTTTGATTTGGATTCCAACCTTCGGCATATTTTTTGCTCAATTTCTTCCCGGAGTCTCCAAGTTCTCAATTTAGGGAGGAGAAACTTTGAAGGGCAGGCATTGCAGCAAGGTTTTGAAGCGGGATGGCGATCTAATCGGGAATTGGGGATTCTAATCCGTCAAAAAAACTCTCTGTAGATGAATCCACGCAGATCATGTAAACCAGCTTTTCGAATTGGCTTTGGTCTTTGGCCCTTTGAATACTCTGCGCAATTTTGAGTTGCCCGTACGATTCCCCGTATTTGAACTCTGCCCCAATTTTGAAGTTACTACTAGTACGTAGTCCTAGACCTGGCAATCGGGTCAATCGGTTCGGATTCAGGTCGGGTCTTTTCGTTTCAGGTCTCTTTCGGATATATGTTATAACCGGTTCGGGTCGGTTCGGGTCGAGTCAGTTCGGTTCCGGATTTATTTCGGTTTGACTGGTTTTCGATTTCAGTTCGGGTTTATATCGGTTCGGGTCTATATCGGTTCGGGTTTGTATCGGTTCAGGTTTGTATCGGTTCGGGTCTGTATCGGTTCGTGTTTGTATCGGTTCGAGTTTGTATCAGTTCGGTTTTGTATCGGTTTGGATTGTATCAGTTCGGCTTGTATTGATTTGAATTTATATCGGTTTAAATTTATATTACGGAGTAGTTTAAATACGGAGTATAATGTAAACACACACTAATAAATGAATAATATCACATAACAAATCTAGTTAATTTATGACATACTTCGTAGTTATTCTACTCTGTATTATTGAAGACGAACGTACATAAAAAATAAATACTTATATAATTGACTAATTGTTTCTAAAGTTTTCCCTCTTAAAGTTTTCGGCGCAACCTTTGTAGTTAATATTTTACTTCGACTTCCTAAATTTCTATTAAAGTATCCATTTCATTTTGCGTTTCAAATATTAGAATAACTATATAAAAAAAAATTCTTCCTCGCCCGCCGAGTATTTGTTTACTTTTGACTTTTTTTGATTAAAATTAGTAAATTTTGACTTCAAACTAAATAAAAATGATATTAAATACTTATTAAAAAAAAGTTTTATTAGATTTATTATATCAAATATTTTTAAAAATATATAGGTAATTCTTTTTTCCAAATTCATTTGATAAATGAAATATTAATGAATTTGATCAATTTCGGGTCTAATCGGTTTCGGATCTAATCGGTTCCGAGTCTAATGGGTTCTGAGTTTAACCGGGTTCAGGTTTAACCGAGTTCGGGTTTAACCGAGTTCGGGTTTAATCGGGTTCGGATTTAATCGGGTCTGAATACATTCGGTTCGGGGTCGGTTCGAATCATTTTGGGTGTTCGGTTCTATTTCGGTTCTTCAGTTTTCGGGTCAAATCGGGTTCGGTTCCGGGTTATTCAGTTCGGGTTATCGAGTCCGGATCAGTTTTGCCAGGTCACGTACTACGTAGTACTTCCATTTTGACTTTTTTTATTCAAATGCAATTTTTTATCATAAATTAAATATAATCTAAACAGATAAATAATGTTCTCCCGTTCTTAAATATCTGTCACACGCATATTCCAGAGGTAAAATATCAAATTTTTTAAATTCAATTTATTTACATATTGATATAGAAATAAATAATACTCCGTAAAACTACATGAAAAGTTCTTCGATATAAGAGGTGTCAAAACGATCATAAAACTTTATACACCAAGAAATACCAAGAAATTACACACACTCTAATGGTACAAACACTAATGTCAAAACGATCATAAAACTTTAGGCTAACATTTTATAAACAAAAACAATAGATATTAAAAAAGAAAAAAAAGCTACCAGACAGAGAGAGAGTACAAAAGGCTGAAAAGGACCAATTTCGATCAATTACACATTTATTATCCCACACAATAAAATGATGTATATATGAATAAATGTTTACATATTACACAATCTGCATATGCATATAATTTATACTAGGCCGGCAGATATAGTGAAAGCCATTGGCAAAAATTTGGCATTCTTGCAATGGCAAGAAACTACAGTACTAACTTGGCCAAGTTAACCATGTCTAAGATTTTCACCTCCAGCGTATCGTCCACCTTAACGATTCCATCGGTACTGTCCACTCCAATAAGCTTCCCGGTGGCCCCACGCTGACCGCCACCCATAATTTTGACTCTTTCGGACTTCTTCGGCGCAATGATTTCAATTTCATTAGGGGAAGCAGTGATTATATCCCCATTGCCGCTTGAACCAAGGGCAACACTGCAAGACCCGTCCTGGATCACAGAAAACATTCGCTCAAGAACAGCACACAACAATTATATACAGGAAGTCAGGAAATCATCCACTTGAACATAGATGTAGTTTAAAAGCAGTAAGTTTATGTCATTAGTCATCAAGTTCAAATTCTTGTAAAATTTAATGTGGGTGATGATGTGTCTATGGCTTCCTATCCTACAGTAAATTTTGCAGTGTTATTAGTGGATGTTATTAGTGGTAGATGCAGTGTACAAAACTTAGAGGCTGATTGTTATAGACATTAGAAAATATTTGAAAGATTGTTTGGAAAAGCAGCTTCAGAAAAGCTGTAACTTCTAACTTCTCCAAACAAAATGGAGCTTCAAGCATAAATATGCGGTGGGAATAAGCTGGAATGAGTTTTCCCAGGTGTTGGCAAACACCAACATTCCATGTAAAAATATAAAACCTAAAACTAAACATTGTTTCAACAATCAATAGCAAAAACCTCCATATTAGGTTCGAAACATGGCTTTTTTATGACTAGTGGAGTAAAAAAAATCACTTGAAAACGGATCTCATGTGTGTGGGGGGGGGTTCACACATTCCACAATAAAAAGATAATCAGACATAACGTACCGCATGAACTTCCCGTATTACCCCAACAACATTCTCTTCCCCAACCCTGCGTACATTTACTGCAATATCTGTCAATAGCCAAGGCCCTTCACCTTCTCCACCTGAAATGTAATATTTCATAAGTATCATTGAGAACTAACCGATTCAACGACTTCTTCAATTTGTTATATCAAAGCAAAGATCCAGGTCATTTGAAAAGGATCAAAGAGTAAAGGAGCTTATTAGAGGGCAAAACTTTGGGTACCCTACATGAGAAAAGTGAAGGAAATTAATAGAGGACAAACCTTTAGCCAACTACCTAACTTCTTCATTTGGGGTAGAGCTAACTACCTAACTTAAAAATTAGGATAGGTCGCTCACTTCAATTTCCTTACCTGATATGATAATCGATATTTTAGTACTCCCTCCGTCCCCCTAAGATGTTCTCATTTTGACTTTTGGTGGTTTTTAAGGAGAGTTGAAAAAAGGTGAAAGTTTACCATAATACCCTTAATGAAATATGGGTGGAGTGTATTAAATGAGGTGGGTGAGGTGTAATAAATAAGGTAAGTGGGGGTATTTATGGTATTTTAATTGTTAAAAAATGAAATGAGAAGATCTATTGTGGACAAAGAAAAAGGGCTATTGAGAATATCTATGAGGGACGGAGGGAGTAATTGTCTAGACCCCTGACACTAAATCACAGTAATCTGTATTCCAGCTATAGGTGGAAAACATAAGCACATGCTATTTAATTACTCCTTCCATCCCAAAAAAAAGGTTCCACATTTCCTTCTCTCCCTACACCACTCTCAACCATCCTATTTAACTTTTCTTAACCTTCGTGCTGAGTCAAACATGAAACCTTTTTACAGGATGGAGGAAGTATGTTCTTTATTCTACAGTTTTTTTACCATTAATGTTCATCTTAAAATATTTGACTATTCTAATATGTTCTACAAGATTGATATTGCATAATAAAGATACACGGATACAACAACATTAATATGGTTCCTGTCTGCAAGGGGTTAGCAATGTAAGTGCTCGTATGCGTTGCATGGATGTCGGATCTGTAGAATAAGCTCAGACAGATAGAGCAACACATACCTACTACAGGTGACATCATATCTAGACTGCCACTCCCAGGAGTCATTGGTTGGCCACCAGGGGTTCCAGGCAAGTATGCAGAACTTGGGGTCATAGGTGGTGGCCCGCCAGGAGTTGATGGCAAATAAGGACTTGGAGCATTAGCTACATTCAAAGAACAACAATTACACAAATAACAATGAACAAGAATTGAGTGAAAATGTTCCAATGTGCAATAATAATTATGCAATCAAGTCAAAAGTCAGAACTCCGACTTGTAAAATGAACATTTCCGTCTAATTACCATAAGAACTATTATCTCTTGGAGTCCCCGCATCACTATAGCTACCCGTAGAAGAGTTGTTCCAACCAGAACCTGGAGTGGGTGCCTCATACTGCCTTGAACGAGGGCTTGGAGGCTTAAAACAGAAAAGTAAAATCAATATTGCATTCATTGGGAAGCTCTCTGGAAAAACATATAAAAGCAAAAAAGTGGCAAACCTGATACTGAGGACTAGAACCCCAAGAAGCAGGATTGCCATCTTCCCAATTGTCCCTAGCACAAAAAAAAAACCATAATGTTCTTTTTGTTTTTGAGTAATTTAACTCAACTATAACCGAAGAAATTAAGAAACTTATGTTACAAAGAGAATCAGGTTCCACAAGTTTGTCCTATGTGCCTTAAGCACATATTGCATAGGCACATTTAAATCACTACAATCTGTGAACTCAATGAGATGATAGATTACAGGTATAAATATTCAGTAAGATGTCCGAGTCACAGCCACTCATGCAAAACAAGATTGTGCACGACCTCTAAATGGATACAAGTAAAAAAACAACCCTATAAATTACAAGTTCATTGGGATCTAGGGGGTTAAGAACTTAACATGTGCAGAGTGTTATCCATGTTAAACAGAGAGGCTGAGTGTATTAGACCCATGATGCATTGCTGCAGTCACTTTGCAAAATGAAGTAGAAAATGAGGGAAAGCTTAATGTGCCACTTCAATTTGGTCCATCATTTTCCCAAAGATAAAACATTGACAAAAAATAACTTTCTCAGCTCCAGGGCAATTGCATGGACAAGTTATTATTTTGTCTTTATAGGGTTTGCCTAAACTCTCTCAGCTCCATGGCATGGCATGGCATGGCAAGTGCATTATTTCTTTTAAAATCAAATACTCCCTCCGTCCGGAAATAATCTTCCCATTTCTCCTTTTCCTCCGTCCGGAAATAATCTTCCCATTTCAATTTTTATATACTAACTACCTAAAATACCCCCATCTACCAATATTCCCTCTATCTCTCCCCTCCCCTTTCTCTCTCCTCC